TTTTAGTATTTCATCTGTTTATTCAGATAAAATGTGAGACTAGATAATCAGCAGCATCAATCAGTTCTGATCATTTCCAATCAAGAACTTATCAAAACATATGCGAATTAGAAGCTTGAAAATTTGTTATAAAATCAGTGGCACTCATACACTATAAGTCTCAGCACAACAAAAAGGTAAATGTGTGTTCTTGCACAATTGAAGTAGAGTTCGGAAAAGATTTCTGAAGAATTCGAGGGGTTTTGCTTGAGGTTTTTTGTAGGGAAGCTTGTTGAAATTCCTCGAGGCTCTTGACAAAACGCAAGGGCCACAAGATTCCATTATAACACTTGGAGGAATTCTGGAAGACTTTTCACTTTTGTATGCTTATATTGTTGATGTTAGTGGTTTACTCATGAATTTCTCAAAAAAAAGAGTTAAAAAGGATTTTTGTATCAATCAAATTATTGTTTCTGCAGAGCTCTTCAGAACTCATCAGATTCTACCGCCTAAAGAAAAATTCCAACAGACGAGTCGGAAAAAAGCTAAATCAATTAAAACGCGCTAGACCGAACTAGACACGTCTCAAATATGTGTGATTCCCTTTCTTTTCACATTGTGAATTTTGAAAATTGAATTAGCTAATTTATTTGTCTTTCCAACTGAATTTTTATTTTCAGTTAGTTTTCTTTGGATTGATACTAACATCCAACTAATGTGGATTACGTAGTACTGTGCCTCAGTACTCACTCAATCTGCTATTTCCTGTACGTAGAGAAACAACTTAATTTGTTATAGTTGAAATATTTATTTACAGATGGAGCACAACATATTGAATATATGTACATATTCAGACAATGAGATACGAAGTTTACTATACAGATATCTGTATACTAAACTTCGTATCTCATTGTCTGATGGCGAAATGTGTACATTTTGAAACGACACATTGTGTATAATAATAAATTAGAATGACTAGACTTAAAGCTGCTGTAAATTGTATCATATTTTTGGGATCCCGAAAGATGCGCACGACGAAAGTTATGCACAAAACGATGCGCACGGAATAGAAACTTGCGCACGGAAAGATGTGCGCAAGAAAGTTGCATACAGCGAATGTTACGTACGGGTAGGTTGCGCACATATTATAAAATTCTTGTTTATACTTCAAAGGATAATAAATAAACAAAGGAACAGGAAATTGAATAGTAATAATTGTCTCTTAAAAAATAAGGCACGTAACTACTTTTTAAGGAATGTGGTAGAGACGTTGAGTTTTCATCATTGAAAAGAAGAGACTTTGGAGTACATTTTTATAACAGATATTAATTCAAAAATAGGCTTTTAAAGTAAGTTTTTAAGGCGATCTTTGGAAAACCAACCCATAGCTCAAAAACTTCAAATACGAATACTTTCATTTTTGTTCATGAACGGATAACCCAAAGTGTTCTCTTTAAAACGCGAGTCAAGCAAGACATTAATTTTCAGTGGTTCGAACGTGGTATCCAATTTCCTTTGAGCCCTAGGACTGGTATCCGGTGACTTCAGGTAGGCTTGAGATTGGATGAAACACACGTAATTGTCCATGCTGAATCTGATGGCAATGTTTGCTTTGAGAAAATAATTGAAAAACAGGGTGAAAAGGGAGCTTTATCAGAATTGGGGTCTCCAGGAATTTTATAATACGTACGCAACCTACCCGTACGTAACATTCGCTGTGCGCAACTTTCTCGTGCGCAATTTTCGTCGTGCACATCTTTCGTATACTCCATATTTTTACTCAAAATTTTACCTGTACCAAAACAAAATTATTTAACAATCAACCACTCTAAAATTCTAAAAGGAAACTGATGATCCAACGTGAAAGCACACGCCGAGTTTCAGTAGATATGTGATATCTAAAAATTTGTAATGAATCTTCTAGCCGACTGGGATCTCCAACATAGCGCAGGGGAAAAAAAATAAAAAGCTTTAATGATGACTCATTGTTTTTAGCCCGTTCGAACGAATTAATGTCATAATTCTTTTCTAAACATATTAGAACAAACTCTAAATTAGTTTTATACCATTTTCTCGCACACGTTAGAATGGGTAACAAATTTGTTTTCACCGCGTTAGAACCTGTTATATCATAAATTTTCTTTCAAACACATTGAAACTATCATTCAAGTGGCAAAACTATCTTATGGGAAACAAGTATCATATCTTCACGATTACATTGCGAGGCTAATTAACAACGATACGCCACTATCGGTCGACGAGATTAGAAAGGCTGCCGCAAACAGAGAGAATTGGTCCACGATTGCTGTCGCTTGCAAATCTCCATTGTTCGCAGCCGAACGATGATGATGATGATGATGATGATGTATCATATTTGAAATCAACGCTAAAAACTGTACCGAATGCTGTAGTTCTCAAACGTTTTCTGAGATATTTTTCCCGGATCTAAAAATTTCATCTGAACTTCCTCTCCTTATACATTTTTTATCAGAAACTTAAAATTTTCACAATAAGACTTTTTTCCTATTATAGTATTATCAGGTATAGAGAGTCATTCTACGTCAAATACAATCATTTTTGATGATAAAAATTGATATCCGCCTGTCTAGTGGAAAATATCCACTGTGTCTACGTAACAAGAACATGCGCTCATGCCAACTACGGTCTATCAAGGAACTTCTTTTGTGTCTATGTACACACAACAAACATTAGTACTATGTGATATATAATCGAGTCCAAAAGATTTTGTATGGTAGAAACTCGCTATTTTCTAGTAGTCTGTTGTTTATTATACGATGCAAAAGAAATGGAAAAAAATGTCGAGCATTATTTGTGCATGTTCCTGATGCGCTGACGATTTAATTGTTTTTCCGTTAGAAAGAGCAACGTTTGAACTTCAAAGAACATAGAAAATAAAATTTTTTGTAATTAAGTTTGAGTGAGAAAAAATATAAATATCAAACGTCGCCTAAAATGCTCTTACAAAGCACTTTTTTCTTTAATTTTTCACCGCAACCTGAGGAGAAAACCCTTTTTGAAAACTAAATAGATGAGAATGTCGTCTGCGCAAAACTGTATTGATCCATCTACTGTAGAGAATTTCTTATTAGCTTCTTAATCGTAAAAAAAAAACGTATTACAAAAGTCAGATTTGGTAGAAAACTGTACTATTCATGAGAAAAGCACGACATTGAGAAAATTTGTTATTTAGGACTCAAGATATGTCAGTAAAAAGTAAAACTAATGTGATCTTGCAGGGAATTGATTGCTGTTTCAGAAAATGTGTTTTAGCAAAAGGACAAAGTTCATTTAGTATATGAAAATTATTAATTAAGTCTAATCAACTATTTTTCTAAAACAAATGAAAAATTCATTTCTAATTGAAAAGTAGATTGCAAGATAATTTATCACATTCGATTCAAAAGAGCAATAAAAACACTTATAATTTCTATAATTACATAATTTCAAACTTATTCTGCTATAGTGAAAAAATACTTTTGATGAGAGCGATACATTCCAAGAGAGTGAAAGTTGCAAGAGTTTTTATTTCGTATTTAGATTTCTTCTCACTCAAACTTTTTTTGTTTTCTATGTTCTTTGAAGTTCAGACGTTGCTCTTTCTAACGGAAAAATAATTAAATCACCAGCGCATCAGGAATATGCACAAATAATGCTCGACATTTTTTCCATTTCTTTTCTATCGTATAATAATTTTTAGTAGTTTACTGCCACATGATAACACAACGCTCATGCGCTTTATGAAATATTTTCTGAAGAATAGTGGCTTTGAAGAATATTCTATAGTAAAAATTCTAGCAGCATCTTGTATTTTATTCAATTTCGTATTCTATTACAATGGTAAATAAAAAAAATAAAAAATGAATTTTTGCTTGATTAAAAAAAATAAGTTAACTATAAAATTTTGTACTATTATTTTTTTTCTTCATTATTCAACCAAAAAATATGTTGACCAGTTTTAATACCACTTAGTTCACTGCAAAAATTAAATTTTTCATTTTTGTACGAATAACAAATTAAATTATTTGAATTTTGATTTGCTATTAGCAAAAATTGTCCCGTTGGATCAAAACCAAAATATCGTGCAAATGCACCTTTACAATCTAGATGTTCATGAATTGTCAGTTGTCCATCGGGTAAATCACAATTATAAACAATAATTGTATTATCGCCACGATTTGATACAAGTAAATATTTATAATCAGGACTAAATGTAATTTCGGCAGGTGCATTGTCTGTCTTATCATTCGGATTTTTACGCGTCGTAATTGTCTGAATATGTGTGAGTTTACCAAGTGATTTATCAACACTATAAGCATTTGTTGTTGAATTTAATTCATTACACACGTATGCTAACGGTTTTGTTGGATGAAAAACTAAATGTCGAGGACCAGCGCCAGCTTCTGTTAGTGTACGATGGTTAGGCTTAATTTGACCGGTAGAGTCATCAAAATGATAACTATTTATTGAATCTGTTCCCAAATCAACAACATAACTAAAATAAGACAAGAAATAAAACATATTTGATAATAGTAACAATAACTTGTTATCAATACTTACACATAAGAACCATGAAACAGTATACAATGACCTCTTGAATGAACTTGCTGTGGTTTTGGTCCACTTCCCTCAATATCTTGCGTGATTGCATGTTCTACATCTGGTATTCCATTTTCTAATAACGGAAATATGGCAAAAGTTGATTTTCCGCCGTAGTTTGCTACACCCAAATATTTTCCACTTGGATGTACATCAAGATGGCATGGTGTTTCACCCAAAGATGATACAGGAGTAGAAAGCAAAGATATTTTTCCATGAAGACGATCTTCAATTGAATATGTTGCAATTTTATGTACAAATTCATTGACAATATATATAATATTTTTTGTTAAACTCAATTGCAGCCATGATGGTCCATCTCCGGTTGTTTGTTCATCTAATTTTTGTAATTGACCAGTGGAAGATAAATGACATGAATAAACAACTTTCTCGCCTGTTCCAACAAGAAATAATTGAGACATTTTTGTTTAATCTAAACAGACAATTGTGAAAAATGAAAAAGTACAGGTGTGTGAAGAATAAAAGAAAAAAGATCGAACGAGAAATATTATGCATGTTTCTTATCTTGGCTATTCACGTCATGTGTAAATAAGATAATAAAATAAAATATGCCAGTTTTTCTTTTTAAAAATTGTATCTTCATTTATGAAAAATAACTATGTTCATCACAATATACATCTCTCCTGTACAATTGATATTATAACAAAAAAAATACATATCAGATTTCTAATTCTTAATCTCATTATCTAGTTAATTTGCACACTAAAGTAAACGCTTGATAACTACTAGAAATCTCGAAAGAAAGCAGTCAGCAAGGATATAAGACACTATAAAGTGAGATTTACAACATAATAAACAAAAATAAAAGATTATTTACTATAGATCATTGGGTCATTGAAGACCACGTTTATTTTTTTTTTATTGCACATTAAATGGCAAGAAAAATAGATCTTTCTTATAAAATTAGAAGACAAAAAAAAATAAACAGAAATATAAACATAGACATGCACTGATACTAAGATTTAAGATAAGATTCATTCGTTTATTCTTGATTCGACGACGGTAATGTATAAAGTCCATTTTTATATTGTAATTGATTTGCTGTCACTTTTTGATCTAATATATTTCGTACTTCAATCAGTGTCTTTTCATTTTTTCCATGAAATGCATAAATTGATAATAAAGAGCAGATTCGTTCCAATGTCAATGATGTCATTGTACGCAACATACCAAATATAAAATTACAAATAATCTACAAATAAAATAGAGACCATTGAAGTGGAGAAATAAACAAACAGATCAAACTCATTCTTACTGTTTGTTCATGTTCTTTTTTATCTAAATCAGCTTGATTTTCTGCTGTATCATTTTCATCATCACCACATTTTGTTATTACCATTTCATTTTGAGTATGTTGAGAATTTTGAGCAACCTAACAATATATAAATAATTTTGCATTGTGTAAGAAAGAGAAGTAACTGTCCAGTTACTTTTGATGAATCTTCCACAAGTCGATAAGTATCTTTTGATTCTTCTTTTAACAATCCACAATTCTGCCATAAGTTAATTCGTTTTCGGATGCAAGCTGTTGAACATTTCAATGATGAACTTAAATCTGAAATTGTCCATACATCTAAAAGAAGAATAAAGATAAATATTATAGAACAAGAATAATCTATTTTTATAATTACCTTTATCTTGAAATTTGTAGATAATTGCAGCATGAAACGGTGTTACTGTGAAGTCAAGTGTCTTACCACCAATTTCAATTTCAATCTTAACTTGACCTAAAAGACATTTGTATGTTTGGTTACATTTTAAAGAGCTGAAAAGTAACATCTAATTTTCAAACAGATTCTAGCATACTAACTGTTAGCATTTATAAATAGTCTTTAGTTATCAGTAAGGGAGTTACTTTACTTTTACTTTCCCTACGAAAAGTAAATTATTTATTTATATTTATTTTAGAAAATGGTAAATCATTTAATTTACTTGGTTGAATGACAGAACTATATATATCTTCTAACTTTAGAGTAGAAGAGACTCAAATGATGAAACTAAACGTTTCTAACAACAAGGTAAAATCACAAAACTTAGGAAAAGTTGAATAAATTAAATGATTCGAAGTAAATAGTAAATGTCTGACGTATCATTTACCATTTTATAAAGTAAACGTAAATAAATGATTTACTTTACTTTGATATGTAAATGGATGTGGATATGTAAATGATACATTTCTAGTAATGAGTGTATATTTAGAACGACAGAACAAATAAGTTTGACTAAATCTAGAGCTCCTACAAAATAGCACTGATATGACATAAGTCATAATTTCAATAGAAATGTTAAGAATTATTTAAACTCTTATTTTTCACCCCTACTTTTATTTAATTGTTTTTTGAATAGTTTTTACTAGAAAAAAGTTGATATTTTAGAGTATAATCTGTACAGAAAATTTTCAAGTAGTCTAGATTGTTTTTGAATGAGTTATGAACTTTCTGATTTTTCGTAAAATTGGCTTGATTTTGGTCTAGAGATGAGATGAGTATCGAAAGTATCGCATACCTTTGGCTATAAGTGATAGTGATATATTTTTCTCGTTCTGTTTTGTACACGCCTTGGGATGTAATGATATAGAAGAGAGATAAACGATAATGATTTCTTTTCGTTTTTTCGCTTAGATATGTGGCTATACCTTCATATTTGAAAACGTACCTTAGGAAGAAAGCGAAATAAATATTCTTCGAAGGAGAATACATACACACTGCTTTACACTTTACTTCGCCTATTGTCTACATGGAGTTCTCCTCAAACTCCTACTCCTCTCAAGCGCAAAGGAAAAAGATGAGTAGTCTAATGGCATCATTTTCTTGAACAGAAATTCTCGAATCAAAAAACGTTAAATAAAACTATTTGTGGCGCAATTAGGTATGGGTGGGACAGGAACTGGGACTGACACCAATGATTTTTTTGACAATTTCGGGAAAACAGCGTTTACTTCGTCATGCAAACTTTATTAAAACAAAAGAGTTTCATTCAAAAAACAGGTTTATATATCATCATCCATCTGACTGTTCATATCTTCACTGTCTGCATCTACATCCTCCTTATTGAGACGGAACCAAAAAACATTTCCGGGAGCAGAAGGGGACCGAAAAACTTTTCTGGGATCGAACCGGGATAGAAAAACCTTGGTCTTGTTCATATCCAGGCGCAACTCTTGAACGGATTTCCTTACGGCTAAAACTCAATAATTTGTTTGCTGTGAACTTTATTCTTTTGCCTGTTTTTCTATCCTAAATAGTAGTGTATCAGGATTCTCCAGCTGATTAATAGTTAATTCTAGTTGATATCAATCACTTACTCTTCTGCTGGGATGTGTCCACTTGCTATATGATAAAACTTATTTTCTTACTCTTTTTTCTTCTATTAGCTCAGAATAAACGACTATCGCAAACGCATTAAAGAAGAAAATAAAATATAGCTATAAACGATAATCGCTCATCGATAACGAAATATATACAATAGAGAAAATAAAATAACAAACCCATAATAATGGGTCACTTGAAGAATAGAATGTAAAAAATTTCACCTCAAATAAGTTTTTAGCCTGTTTTGTAATGTTTTTTCCTACAAATAAACATTGCTACAGTACTCAACGGCATTTTCCCTTGTCTAGTACAAACATAAAATTTCTTGTTACTTGTGAAGAAGTTAGTTAGTTAGTTAGTTAGTTAGTTAGTTAGACCCGCTACCATTTCTGATGTAGGGTGAGAAAAAAACATGAGGAATTGTGAAGAATAAGAAATTCTTGGATAGAAATAAGTCCATCCGCTAGAGCTTTTTCAAACGTGTACTACGAAAGTATTTGCACAGAGAAATTTCAATGAGATAGTGACGAAAAAAGTACCACTCCTATCTAGATGTCCGATAAATTATCCTTCAATTATTTCTGATATTCCCACTCAGCAAAAGAATTATTTCAGCAGTTTTAAGGAGATCGGATACCAGTTTCAAGTTTATGTGAATGTGTAAAAGATACTCTGGATAATTTATCTACATAAAAGAACAACTCATTTATATTTCAACACTTTGATTGTCAAACTGATTTTCAAAAATTCTCTAGAAAATGTACATGATGACTATTTTTTAGAGTCTGTTTTTTCTTAAAAAAATGTTTTCTAGTTTTGACGATCGTAAATCTTCATCTCTCTTTTATCAAAAATTGTTCAAAAAGCAATCGAGTCCAATCGTTTCGAAAATGAATAGTAGTATGTCAGACTCGCACTTCATTGCTTAGCTAAAGCTCTAAATTTCTCCTTATACCGCGAGAATTTGTCGGTAATTATATTTTCAATGTTTTACATACCGTAATTATGACTCCAGTGTAATGTTCTTCTTGATCTTATGGATCCGTATGCAGTTGTGTATGCTTTTTGTATTGCCATTAATTCGTCTGGTAATTCAATTGGACTAAATTTAACTTCTGGCCAATATTGACTTGAGATTATTAATGCATTTATTGGCAATTCCTTGACAGAAAAAAGAAATATTTATTGGAAGTTCTTTTTAACAGACATAGCTTTATACACATATATATGTTGCACGAGAAATTAAAATCCAGTAGAATTTAAAATTCTCCTAAATCAACATATTTAACACAAACGCAAAAACTCAATTATTCGGCTATAGAGCTTGAATTTTAGTTTTCTGGAAAGCGCACGATGTTTATGGGCATTAGATGAAGATTATAAACAGTGACTGCGAATCTAAACATCTCTATTCGACCAAAAATATAGCCATAAGTTCGATGACAGGTCACAAAACATTTACGGATCAAATTCTGCCTACAAGTTGCAGTTTTTGGACTCTCAATCATTGTTTATAACCTTTACCTGATATCCATAAACATCGTGCGCTTTTCAGAAAACTAAAATTCGAGCTCTATAGCCGGATAATTGAGTTTTCGTGTTTGTGAATATGTTGATTTTAATTTCTCCTGCAGCATACACATTATTTTACATATCCCCTTAAGCACATACTTCAAACAACTCAAGGGCATGCGAAAAGAAAGTCAAGTTCATTATACTTAAAGCGTTTTGCATGAGTAAGAAACTCATGTGCATGGAGACAAATCTTTGAGATACGACATATCATGCCCTTAAGAAAAAAAACTTCACTAGGACTACGATCAACTTATCAAATATTCGAACTTGTATCAAATTTTTTCCATAGTACAGTTTGGTTCTTCTCTATATACTTTTACTGTTGATGTTTTCTTGTTTCTGACTCATCGGATGTACAAAAATTTGCAGACCCATACTGAGTCTATTGCACAACAGAGACTACTTCCAAAAATAAAAGCAAAAACGTTCAATTCTTTTTCTCTCTCTGAACAATCTATGGTTAAGAATTAATAGATAAACTCGTAAATCCTAAATTCTCTAATATTTCTGATATTCATCAATAAATTTCGCTTGATATGTTAATCCAAATGTTCGTTGTAGTCGTTATCTTTAATATGTTCCTTTCTTAGATTCTCTTTGTAATGATAGTAGAGTTTAAAAGTGTTCTACAATCTATTTTCACTTTCCAGATGCATATAATTCATTTTTTCTGTTTTGTTATTATCACAATCAACATCAAATCAAAACTAAATCAACTTTAACAATCAGTACTATATTTTTACCAATGAAAACTTTTCTGATAAATTTTTTCTAATTGAGCCATTAATTGTTTCCGAATCGATATAATCTTTTAGCATAACATCACAACCTTGTAGACCAGCATCACCAAAACGATTTTTCAATAAATCAACATACCGTCCTTCATGAGCTAAAAAAATAGCTTATTCTATTGAGATAAACAAAAATTTCTAGAATTAATTAAATAACATACTTATATCAACTTTGACACCGCTTAATAGTCTATCAGCTAACATGTGAACATATTCTTCAACAAATAATTCTGGATGACCATAAATTGATACAAGCATCGACATCATATCTCGAGAATGTGGTGTACGTAATGCACGATCAGGAGCTTTAAAAAACAAACCAGAGAAAGATATAAACATTTATTAATATTTAATAAAAAAAGACATACAACATACCATTTAATGCTTCGATTGGCTCTGGTTCCCAATCATACATATCCATTTGTGTTGCACGACCATCAGCTAAAAAAAGAAATACCTATTAACCGTTTACTAAAAGATACCGTACAAAAAATTGAACAGATTATCGATTTTACTAGTGTTGCCAAAAATTTGTATACCAACACGCCAGAATATGAGAAAATAAATCAACATTATCGAAAAATATTTATACAAAGATTAATATGTCTGATTAAGTGTGTTGATCAGATGAAAAGGAAAATTTTTTATATTAATATTGAAAAAACATTTGAACTTACATTCAGTTAATTCGTCTAATTCTAGTACTCCATGTTCATTCATATTGCTTACTATAACACGTATTGTATCCTCACGTCGTCTAAACATCAACAAGTGATTGGAATAAGACAACTGAGATTTATAACTTCATACGCTAAATATTGTTTAACATTGTTACAAGATAATTCCATCATTACACCTGTCGAATCCAAATAACGTAATACCCTTATGGCATTAATAAATGCCGCTAATATATCAGTGGTACCAGCGCCTAAAATAAATAATGAAATGATTAAAATACATTCTTTTCTTTATCTGCATTTTAAAATAATGGTGAATTATTACCTGGATGTAACAAACGTTTATTAAATTCATCTTTAACTGTATCGATTATCAAATATCTATGTCCAATTTGTTTAATACATTGTTTTAAATCTTTTAATACTTTACATGATTCTGGATATTCAATTATAATCATAAACATATGTTTTGATCTCGCTTTTATATAACATTCTAAAATATAATTTTTTAATTCTAATCGTTTATGATCATCAAATAATTCTTGTGATGATTGACTTAATTCATCATAACAATAGCCTTGTAATATTTCAAGCCAACAGTGTACTCCACTCTCATACCACTAAGTAAACAAAATATACACCATTATTCTTTGACACACAGTAAAAGAGAAATATCCATACTTGTTCTAATACTGGTATACATTCATTTGGACTATATTTGGAACATGTATCACGAACAAAATTTGATATACGATGACGACAAGCTTCAATAGCTGACATTTGACACACTTTCGTCAACAGTTTTAAACGTTTTCTAAAAGAAAAATAAATGTACAAAATACTATCCGTTTCAAAATAGAAGGCACTCTAATGTTTTTTGAATAACTTCTGAATGGTAAGAGGTAGAGACCTGCGGTTTTCAGATTATGGAAGAGGACACCTGGGAGCATAATTCTATATTGAATTGAGCCAAATCCGACAGGTCTACCATGAAGTACCTTTCGAAACAAAATATCCGAGCCTGCCGTTCCAAAAATCTCCATAGCAAAGCACTGCTCTAAATACGTGTGGATATACAACAGATGTCGCTCTATAATCTGGCGTAAGCTATAATTCTCCATCTACCGTGGTTCGTGTGCTGCAGGCAGTCTCCGGGGATCTACCTATTGGCTAAATCTGAAGTTCGGAAACCCTAAAAACACATGAAACATAGGTTTTCGAATACGGGGAATCTCATAGCAATGTTTGTTTCTTCTTCAGATTAAACAAACTTTAAAGGATGAATTTTTCAGAAAATTTAAGTTTTTCGCTGTGACCGTACTAAAATAAAAACCTTCTAGTACCTTCATTTCTGAACTAAATCGCTTCAGATTTTCCAAACTCACTCAGTTTCGCCTGCTGTATAGTTCAGAAATTTTAAAATTATTTCTCATAATGAGATTTACTTTAAGACAATGAGCGGTTTCCCCAAAAACATATTGGTGATCTGCTTTATTTCTGATTGTTCTGATCGTGAGATCGGATATAACACCTTCTCTTATGCTCACTCTTCAACTTTCATGCAATTTGGTTGAAAAATGCAGGTACTAGGTTTTTATTTTAGTACGGTCACAGCAAAAAAATCAAATTTTTTGAAAACTTTATCGTTTGAAGTTTCTTTAATGTGAAGAAGAAAACAAACATTGCCACGAGATTCCCCGTGCTCGATAAACTATGTTTCATTTATTTTTAGGGTTTTTGGACTTCAGATTTAACTGATAGGTAGGTCCCTGAAGACTGCCTGCAGCGCTCGAACACGATAGATGCAGAATTATGACTTACGCCAGACTGTAGACCAACACATCTACCTCTTACCATTCAGCAGTTATTCAGAAAACATCAGAATGCCTTCTATTTTGAAACGGATAGTAGTTTGTACATTCATGTTTGCTAGGCATAAAACATTTATCTTTTCTATACACACCAAATAAAAGACAAATATACTTACAAAATATTTAAAACTGCTTCAAAATTTCTGTAAAATGTTTCACACGTGCATAATCCAATTTGCTTTTTACAAAATGAACACAGTGTATCTAAAGAGGTAGAAGAAAAGTGAAAATGTTTTGAGAAATAAAAATATAAACTCATAAATCTTCCTTACTTCCAATTAGTTCTGAAATAATAGTTTTTGATTGAATAGCTGTATAACATGCTAAATAATATTCAAATAAACAAATAAATTTTTGATAAAAGCTGTTTTTAATTGTATGTAAACGATTTATTTTTGATGGTAATATTTCAATATAGCGTTTTAAATTTAAACATTGTTCTTTGTCAACATATTGCTCTGGAATATAGATTTGATTTGTTTCATTTAATAAAAGTTCAAACTGTAAAAATGCGTTAATAACATGTTGAATATCATTTGCACTCGGTGATTGTGGTACATTCTCAATAACTGAACATAACTGAGGAAAATAAACTTCTTCAATTTGATTTTTAATTCCACCTTTAATCACTGGTAATATTAAATCAATTTCACCATTTTCAATTAAATCGTCAATTATGGATGATAACTGATTCATTGTCTAGAGAGAAAATACGATTTGTGAATAAAAGACGTGAATTTTATCATTGTGAAAGATCAAATACTTCAGCTGAACAGATTTTTAGAATCACTTATTAAAAAAAGATATTTGAACTTCTACACACTATTCTTTATGTACACACCGCAATGAAAAACGTATTGTCCATCAGAAAACTATTATAGAAGCAAAACCGCTAAAATTATACATGAAGGGATTATCTTGAAAAAAGGCAAAAGATAATGAGAATAAAATGAGTCTTTGTTACCACTATAATTGCATGACGACGGACAGTTTGAACTTTCTCCAAGATTGACTTTTTTGAAGCGAGTTTTGAAGAGAGTTTGAAAATGGCAAAACTATCTACGGTGGCACTATATCAGATTAATGTCGGCTTATTCCGCGCTGCCTGTCAGAAATGGTGAATCGAATTTTAAGGAAAAAAAGATTCAGATTCGTCAAAAACTTGTATTTGAACACTCGAGTGTACAACATCAAAATGTGTAAAAACCTGTCGTCGTTGTCTTATTCTACCTCGAAAACTTTCTTTGGTTCTTCTACAGGTCGACCACCTCCCTAGTGGTAAACGTGAGCGGCGGTAGCGGTGAGGGTGAGTGATGGTCGTGGTAGGGAGGTGATCGATCTGTAGAAGTACCCTTTCTTTTTATCGATTTTTAATTACCACGGGGAGAAATCATGCTTTACAGGTCCGTAATATAATATTCATCGACTATATTTGCGACTGTGGCTACCACATTGTCATTCTCCACATACTTAAAATTGAGGACTAGCCGTCACTTGAAATAAGCCTCGCATCTCGGTTTTTCCTTTTAGCTCCAAATAGTAGCTTCAAGGAGAGACTATCTACGTCAATTTGCATGTATCCTGGCTCCTGGGAGCTACTATTTCATACTTTCAGCAGTCCATTGTTACACATTCCCAGTAACATTTTGGGACAGTGTGGTGTGGTGTGGTTTATAGGCATAGAAGTTGTTCGAATAACTGGTAAATTCAGAAACCAATTAGATTTCAGCACTCAGCCTTTATTAGCATATAAGTGATAGTGGCGCTTTCGTTTATTAAAAAGTAATGACTTGTTTCCTACTATGAATACTATTTCTACACTTTCATAAAGCGCAATAGATCTCAAGTAATATATACAGCCTGAACGGTGTGAGCGCGTTCAGACTTGGAATGGCTTGTACACAAAACACTACAGGGCTACAAAAGTAGCTATAACAAATTGTTTGGAATCATAAGTTTAACGAACTTATGGACAAAACAAACAAAAGGCATATTTTTGCGTTTTCTCGTCAATTTTGTTGATTTTGGTGATAGGGTCGGTAATAAATTGAAGGATGTTTCATGAACAGTGTCGTTTCATATATCCCACTGGAAAAAAGTAGCTTCAGTCGTGTTTTTGAATTTACTATGAATATATCGATACATTTTAAAAAAATAATTATACATTCTTGTAGCGCTTGAAATTCTCTATTAGTCTCTGCTTTCCCAGCCTGTACTCGAAATTATTTGCTAGCAAACATTTTGAATATTGTTAATGCCCTCCACCTATCACATTCCAAGAAATTGTAACTTGTGTGATCTCTCAGTATTTTCTACTTTTCTCGTGTTTCTTTAGGACTCAAAGGTTAATGTTTGTTTTAAAAAGATGCACCGAGAAATATTCTACAAAATCATACCTAAACTTTTAGTTCAGTACTTCAATCAAGAAAACTATGCAGATTACATGAAAGACGAAAAAAATAAAAGCTTTCCTATGTGCTGACTAATTGATGATGCTGTTAGTGAAGAATGCCCACCAGCACACTATTCATCTATCTTGTAGAGGTTCCATGGCACCAGATGAGATTCCACTTTCGTCACAACAATGCTCATCTGACAACGACAAGGTCACCATTTGCATTTATAAGAGTTGATTGTCAGGGGCCGTTTGTTCTTAAGACGAAATGTCAAATAAATATATCTGTTATTAAAAGTCGGCGACCTC